AATAATATCTTGATTTAGGTAATTAAACTTAGTGTAGTTTTTACACAATGAAATTGTCTGACACACAGCAGGAGCATGAACTGTGCCCATCTGTCCAATCCAGGGGGGATCCAACAGCATCAACGTCAGCTTTTCACTCAGTAGACCCAGATGGACGGTGCTGAACACACTGGAGAAGTCCAGAGCAAGAAGATGATGTCCTCAACTTCAAGTTTGGGCTGGTTGGACTGGTTGGACTGGTTGGACTGGGGCTGGAGCTGCTCCAGGATGATTTTCTTCAGGGTTTTTTCTTTTTCTACCTAGATTTCTGAGATGCATCAGGACATGCCGTTAAGATACCTTTAATTAGACTAAAAGTGAGATATCTTAAAAGCAAATAATAGCTAGTCAAAACTAACTTAGAGCTATCTCAAACTGTATTTTTGATTAGTCAAATTTCCTTAAAGATATCTTGAATTGAAACCTTCAGAGAACTCAATGGTATTGAATAGTATTGTATTGAAGTCTGGGGTAAAGCTTGTAAAACTATCACAAATCCTATTTTTATTTTTACAGAAAAGAGCTACAAGATTTATTACTAGAAGAAATTACAGCCATCCATCAAATAAATTTTTTTTATGAATTGAAATTATTAAAATTCTATGATTTGGTTGATTATAATATTTTATTGTTAATGTTCAGAGCTCATAAAGGTGTGTTACCTTCCAACATTCATGTAAATTTTGTTAAAACAGAGAGCTATTATTATCTTAAAGGAATTGAAATGTTTGTGAAACCCTGGTTTCGTACGAGCCTGAAGGAGAGATCCACTTTAATCCAGGGAATAAGATTATGGAGCAGCCTGGAAGATGAGGTTAAAATGCCAGAACCTTGTTTAAAGTGAAGAGAATGATAAAAACTAGTTTTCTGAAGAAATATGGAGAAGTGAATTTATGTTAATTGTTGTTTGATTTGGTGTCTTTAATTTTGTTTTTAGTTCATTTTTAAGTGTTTTAAGTTGTTTTGATTTTTTGTTGTATTTTACTTTTCTTTTGAACATATTTTGGGGATAAAAAGGGGCAGATATCATAAGATTTATTCTTCCTCTGCTGCCTTTCATTTTGTTTGATTTTATTTTTATTGCAAGCTTTTTGTATTTTGTTAATTTGTTTCAAATGAAATGAATAAAGTAAAGTGAATCTGATGTTCTTTATATTAGTCGAAATGTAATTGGAGATATCTGAATGACAAATATGACTAGTCATAAATCAATTTCAGATATCTGGAATGTAAGCATCTTGAATTCGATTTTATACAAAAATGGCTTGCCATAACACGTCTTTGGATGCACTCAATACGTGTTTACGTCACCCATATGCTTGGATTTCATTGGTTTCTTCCTCGTTTTACGGCAACGTCATCATTTGGGTCATTTTGCTCCGCCCCTCAACTCACCCCTGTTGGCTTGGAAACCGTCGCAGCGTTGTCGCTAAAGTTATCGGACATCCGGAGCGCTCCCCTGATAAGTACACGCAGCTGTTTGTAATAATCACATGTTATACCACCCAATCAATGCATTTCTTTGGAGTTGAGATTATTTTATACATCAAGAATAATTGCTGAGAAACAGAAACGTCACTTTGTCGATTTGTCACAAAGGCTACATAGCTACTAGCATCAAAGCTAGTGTTTGTAGCAGACACTTTAAACGTGCCCTAGTTTATCAAGATAATAATTTAATATGTGAAGCGTAATGAACTTGTCTCTGTTCTGTCTTTAGAGTGAGGCTTGATTATTCTAGTCCTTATTCTCTCAGAATGAGGGACACCGTGCTTCAAAATGCCAGCAGGTGAGTATTTACAGTGATTAACATGTAATACTTGTGATGTTGATGCGTATTTACGTAGAAATCATTTTGAATAAACTTTATTGTATAACTTTATTGTAAACAGTAAAACACAATTTCATCTGTTATTCTTAAGGTGCAATTGCGTAAAAATATAGCTTAATAACACAACATAGTAAGTAAGTAAGTAAGTAAGTAAGTAAGTAAGTAAGTAAGTAAGTAAGTAAGTAAGTAAGTAAGTAAAAGTAAGTAAGTAAGTAAGTAAGTAA